TGTTGTTATGGTAAGGCTTGGCAAGGATTTTCAAACTCCTTCAGCAGCTCCCATCAGGTGTGCGACCATAGCACAACATTGGCCATTAAAAGAACTCCAGACTCTGTAATTGTGACCCTCTTTTAAGGACAAAATGATAACCTGAATAGTAAGGCCATGTTTAAACGTGTGTTGCTTATGCTAGAGTTATGTAGTAGAGAAGATGTGAAGGTATTTTATTCCTGTGTTGAAGCTTTTATCTCTTTAAAAGTGTTTATTTTGCTGGAGTAGAAAAAAGTCCAAATCCACAGGCCTATGACAGTGTGGTTGTCTAAAAAGAATTCTAGTCCTGCCACTACAACATTTCTACCAAATAGTGGAAAAAATGTCTTGGAAGAAACAAGTTTTTGTTCAAATACATGTATCTTTGGCAATGAGGGAATACTCGATACAGAAAGAAGTATTTGTCCATGCTTCTTTTCTGTGTGATCTTCATCAAGGAGGAAGAGATTTCATGACTCAGTAAGGATTCTGTGCATTTAGTACACTATAAATGGGAAGTCTGTGAAACGCTGGCACAGAGTTTATATATAAAAGGTTCTCTTTTATAATTCTTGATGACTGTTGGTTTTTCAAGCAGTTCAAATGCCACTTAAGCAAAGCTGCAACTGTCCTTCCAGGCATAGCTGAGTATTTCAGGGAGTTCTTATGAAAGCTTATGAAGAACAAGTTTTTCCTTGTTTTTCTTCCTGACACTTCTTCCTATTATTGTATGGTAACAGCATTTGTAAAGGAACAGTATTGTTCATTTGTAGGAAATGGTAATTTTGGAAGAATAGTTTGTTGCCTCTTTTCATTGCATGAAAGATGCAATGGTTTGCTTCTTTACCTTTGTAGAAGCAGCTGGGATGTGGTGGTGTCTTGGCTGTGCTTCCTGTTCTATCTTTGGCCATCTTCTCCTGATTATGAAAGCCACTTCTGAGCACTTCCACCAGAGAGATGATGAGAGACATGCATGTAGTCACCACAGAAAATCCTCTTTGACATTTGAACAAAATTTCCAAGTGTTCTGATAAATGTAGCTTGCTTGAGAAGGGCAGTCTTTGTTGCAACTAATTAGACTCTTTTACAACTCTGTCTTTGTAGAGGAATGGCTCCTTGTTGGTACCAAACAAGGGCATCTTCTGCTTTACAGGATCAAGAAAGATGCAGGTAAGTTGATTTTAAGAATGACACAAAAAGTTGATCACTTTATTTTTATTTCCTGCACTTTAAGGGGTTGTAGTGATGTTAACACAAACTTGTTTAATTGCTGTTTTCTTCCTATATAGAGTTTAATGAATATTTGTGTGAGTTCTTTTGTGAAAGCAGATGTACCATTTATCAGGTCTGCAAGAAAGACAGCAAGCAGGATCAACCTTTTTTTTCTGTTTTAAACTGTTTTATATGAGGTCTCTGCATATGTGAATTTATAGTGCATTAGTGTAAGTTTCATCAATAGAGTGCACAAATGTGTGTAAAAACAGTGCAGTGTGCCAGAGATTTGACTTTCTCTTCTGTTTATGAAGGAATGGATTGGTGAAAGAGCAGCTTTATTCAGTGGGTCCATGAGCATCACGGGATGGGGAAGAGGGATCCCTCCTAACTAGTTGTGTCCCATATTTACTCTTCTCCCTGCCTCTTTGACAGTCGTAAGCGTCCATTGTCTATTCTAGAAGTGCCACAAATAGAGTAGTCTATTTTCAGTTTAGTTAAAATCGATTTTCACTGAACAGATTTGTGCTTTGCATTGTCTGCTGTTGTGTAGAAACTGATGTTATTGATCACAGTGATGTTGTGTAGTGTGGGACAGGAAAGAAAAAAGCAAATGTGCTTCCAAGCTCATCAGCTCTTGGAAGGATGTTCCATTTGTAGCTACTTGACTTTTAGAGACTGAATGCAGCTTGCTTTTTCTGAAACTTGTAGGCCATCTATTCCAACCAGAACATGCTAGTCTTGAGTTGATAGTGTCTTATCTCACGTGGTAAATTTCTCCCCCTTTTTTGCATCAATGCCAGGAGAGGTTATGTCATCAGAAAGTGTCTGTAAGTTTTTATCCCTAAACCTCCTTTTTAAACCCTCGTGGTGTAGTGTTTAATCCTTGTCTACTTTGCAGTGATGTGCTCCCTAGCAATTTAAATTGCTGATATTGATTGGTGGGGGTGAAGTCTTTATGGGTATCTTTGTATCACTGGGTCTCCAAGTGCTTAAATATGATTCTTGTGATGTAATATTCCATCAAGGCAGAAATTTTACTGTTTATGAGACCCTGGGGTGGGTACAAGAGGTGTCATTTACATTTTCACCTGACTATGTAAAAGACCTGATGCATTTGGCTATTAAATAAAAGGTAGCACAGATGTGTTAGAAGATTCACTATTCTAGTGTTAAGTGGCCAAGCTTGCTTTCCTAATTCTTTGTAATTTATTTAGTGTAAGATATATTAAATCATAAATTTAAGGGCAACTTCACTTTACATACTGTCTCAAATCTTTCTCATAGGTTGCAATAGGTTTGAAGTGACACTAGAGAAATCCAACAAGAACTTCTCAAAAAAGATTCAGCAGGTAGGAAATACCATCTTCTTAATGTGGAGACAATTTTCCAGTATTTTCAGCCAAGAAATGAAATAGCAGAGACTGCAGAAGTAGATACTGCAGATAAGCTGAACACAAAAAATTTCCCCAAAACTATAGATTCTTCTAGGGGTTGCACAGCCTAGTGGTTTTGCTCACTCTTCCCATAACAGCAGTGAGCTTGGTTTGGTTATTGAAGCAGAAAGCAAAGAACTGGAAGGTTTATTTTTGGCTTTTGTGGAAATGCTGTTGTTTGTGGTAAGCTTCAACAGCTCTGAGAATATTTGTAAAATCGATGGTAATACACCAACAGACTATAATACATAATCTGACTCTCAGATAAAATGCTACAGGAATGTGAATGTAATTCCTCCTGTTTGGAATTTAGAAGTAAAGTAACTGATTATCTACTGCTAGTCTTACTACTGATTTGGGTGGGTTTTTTGAGAGCTTTTGCTCATTGGTTGTACTGGTACTCGGGAAAGCACCTCAGAGACTGTGCAGCTTCTTTTAGCAACCCTCTGCATGTCCTTCAGAAGTACTTCTGTACTAGTAACATGCCACTTAGTGTAGCATTTTTTTACCAGCTTAGGCTGGAAGCTGTGTGCACAAACTGGTAAGAACTGAGTGAAGTGAAAGGGCTTGCACCAGCTGGAGGAGGGCTGTGTGTAGGTAGCTGCCTTACTCTTTTCACTATTTTCAGAGTATCCAAGATGCATTTTTCTTAGACCATCTATAATCAAGCCTTGTACAGAGACTTTATGAATGGAGTCACTAATGGAACTCTTTCTTTTCAGATTCATGTTGTTTCTCAGTTTAAAATTCTGGTCAGTCTGTTAGGTAAGTGAAGAAAACATTTTAATGCTTAATGAGCTCTTCTCAGTGCAGTTTCTTGGCTGAACGTGGCACCTTTTCCACACATCTCTGTCGTAGCCTAGTTGTTGTGTGGGATTTCTCCACTTTGCAGAGACAAAGCAGCACAGATTGAGAAGCAGTTTTGCTTGTCCTCAGCCAGCTTGGAGAACAACGTATTAACGCTAAGTTTTGCAATTAAAAAGGAAAATATAGATACATGTGCACTCAAGTGTGTGTATATTTAACTCTGTGTAGATAAGTTGGTCTGCATTGGCATGCATTTACACACATATATGTACATGCATGTGTATGGGCACTGTATGATAGAGGCCAAAATTGTTTGAGGTATGAAGCTTATGGTTGATGTGTTCCACCAAATTCAGGTTCCACCCTGCACAGTGCAGATGGGGATCTTTTACCATCTCGTGGAAGATCTAAGTTTGCTTGCCTTTGGCTATGTTTGTTTAACCTTATGATCTTCCTGTGTCTTTTTTTGCTTATCTTGCTACTCCCTTCTTTATGAACGCCAAGTCCCAGCTCTCCCAACTCCAGCATGTGTAGATTTCTGCTGCCTGCGTCCTCGTGCGTACACAAACTTGATCACAGTACCCTCCTTTTGCTGCCATTCACTTTCCACTAATTTCAGCAGCCAGTTCAAAATGGTCTTTGTTCACACAGTCTTCCCTCATGAACTTACTCTGCTCTGGCCAGCTTGCTGTCCCTTCCACTTCCACTCCCACTCCCTCTGCTTGGTTAGCACCTGTTCTCAGTTCTTTCACATAATTTTACTGGTGCTGGTATTGGACTTTTCTGCAGTTGTTGCCTTGTATTTGTATGTATAGCACTTTTCAGCTTTTGGGGAAGCATTCCTTTTCCTTTCTTGCAGCTCTTTGTTTCACAAGTTGTTCTTTTTATGTAAATGTAAAATGTGGTAACTTAAGTTAGCAAATTTCACAAGTTGTTCTTTTTATGTAAATAAACGTGGTAACTTAAGTTAGCAATGAGCTCTATACATATATTAAGTATTGAATAATAACTGGGATTTTGTTTAAAACAGAAAACAACATTTATGTCCATGACCTGTTGACATTTCAACAAATCACTACAGTTTCCAAGGCAAAAGGTGCATCTCTCTTCACTTGTGATCTCAAGGTAAGGGGAAGAACACAATGGCACAAATGCCCTTACTCCTTGTAATAAGGATAACTTTTGTGTGTTGCTGTATAGATTAGGTTTGTTAATTTTGTGTTACAAAATCAAGTTGCTTGGGTACTAGTGCTTTTTAAAATTAATACCTACTGGATGTTAAAGCTTTGTTTAATGTAGTCACCTTAATTTTCTTCCTGGACTTCATAAGATAGCTTCCAGTGGCTGTTGTGATTGTAGCCTTTAACCTCTTGAGGCAAAACTTCAAGGTATTTTTATCCTGTAGTAACTTTGCCTGTCTTCTTTTTTAAAGATCCTCTCCAGTATTAAAGCCATTCCATTCCCTTAAAATGCCAGTGTACTCCCTCATCCTTGTTCCCTTCACCAAGTGTTTCCATCGCTGGTTTTGTTCCATTTTTGTGTCTGTTAAACTGTATTGACCCAGGGCAGTTGTGGTCAATTCAGGCCATAAAATGATTCCATGAAGTATACCGATTCTTTGTTCATGTGCTGTGGTTTATTAAGTGACTAATTTCTGTCCAAATGAGTTTCTCAGCCTACCCATATCATTCAGAAACCTTATGCATAACCAGAAGAGATGGCCTAGTGCTTTTCATCGCTTTTTATCTCTGCCCCATGAGAGCTTAGTGTTAAATTCTATTAACTACTTAGGTTTGTCCAGGTGTTAAAACCCTTTCAAAGCAACTTTAAATCTGGTCATTCCAAAGTGTCTTGTTTGTGTGTACTGGCACTTAGCTTTGCTACCATTTCTTGTCAGAAAACTTTTTTCAATAGGCTGGACTATTAAACAACTATTAATGTTTTTATCTGTCAGTATAACACGTTTGTCACATTGTTCCATTTCTTCCCCTTTCATGTACTGCTGTTTATCCTAGTCTTCAGGGCTGGGCTGATAGCCCTCTACTTATCTTCTGTTCATGTGTGTGTATGTCTTTGGTGCTCTTCTGATGCTTTTTGTATTTTCTTGGTGTTGCAATCCCTGCCAAAGTTCATTTTTAAGTATCCCTCCCTGTGCTCCCCTGTGTAGGTAATGCCCTTCTGGCATGGAAGAACAAAGCTGCTCTTCAGCTGACAGCTTTGCTTCAGGCTTAGGATTCTTTTGGCCTTCTATTATCTTACTTGCCTCTTAGTTTATGAGTGCCTCTGAGTTTGGCCTGTCTGTTTTCACAGCAGTCAGATACAGGGGAAGAGGTGCTGAGGATGTGCGTGGCGGTGCGGAAGAAGCTGCAACTTTATTTTTGGAAGGACAGAGAGTTCCATGAACTGCAGGTGAGTTCTGCTGTTCCTGTAGGCTAGCATGCCTCAGCAGGGAATAGAGATGCTCTTCACAGCGTGCTGTGCAGTCCCTGGTGCTCAAAGGCACTACTGACTTACAGAGCAT